ATGGCCTCCAAACTACTAGTGATGGCCTCCACACTAGTAGCGATGGCATCCAAACTACTAGTGATGGCCTCCACCCTAGTAGCGATGGCCTCCAAACTACTAGTGATGGCCTCCACCCTAGTAGCGATGGCCTTCAACCTACTAGCGATGGCCTCCACCCTAGTAGCGATGGCCTCCAAACTACTAGCGATGGCCTAGTAGCGATGGCCTCCAAACTACTAGTGATGGCCTCCACCCTAGCAGCGATGGCCTTCAACCTACTAGCGATGGCCTCCACCCTAGCAGCGATGGCCTCCAACCTACTAGCAATGGCCTCCACTCTAATAGCGATGGCCTCCACCCTAATAGCAATGGCCTCCAACCTAGTAGCAATGGCCTCCACCCTATTGGCAATGGCGTACACCCTAATAGCAATGGCCTTCAAGCTAAGCAATGGCCTCCACCTCAATAGCAATGGCCCCCACCCTAGTAGCCATGGAACAAAACAAGACAAAGTGCTTCCTTTTGAACCTGAGTTTACCATGGTCTCCTTCTTGGCTATGGCTGCCATCAAGGCTAACGCTTGTGACCAGGGACATCTCAAAGCACAGCTGCAACTCACTACGTCCCAAGTCTTGGTGCGCAAAGTTTTACTAAAAAGCCGACTAAATAACGAAAAGGCTTCTTGTTACTAGTGTATAGTAAGAATGCTCCTAGTAGTAATGCCCTTTGTTACTAGTAGCGATGCCCTTGTTCCTGCTAGTTTTATTGCTCCTAGTAGTAAGGCCAGGAGCTACTAGTAGCATCCTTGCTCCTAGTAGGGATGCCCTTGTTCCTAGTAGCTTCTTGTTACTAAAAACGTCAATATGGAATGAACGAAAAGGAACACCACTCCGTCGCTTCGCTAAGCTATGCTTCACAAATCCGGCAAGTTGCGGGACGCAATGCGAGAAGCTCGATGGCTCGTTGCCAACTCCTCGCTCGTTTTCCCACACACCCATCTGTACGGCTGACTTGCTGTGTGCCGTGGTCAAACGCTATCTTCCAAGTGCCTCTTCGCAGCATGCCGCACATGAGAGGAGAAGGAATAGGGATCATCAGCTGCCCAATACTTCAGTTTGGCATCTGTATCCTGTGAAAGGTGAATCGGATTGGGGCATCAACACCATCACTAAAGGTTTTCAAGCAACGGTGTCCTGTGCTGCAACCTTTGCCATTGGCGCACGGGTGTCAGTAGTTGCACATCCCATGGCCGAAGACACTGCCGTGAGGTGAACGAGTCCGTGGTGCTCACATAAAGAGCGTGTTTAAAACAACACATCTCAGCAGTTTCTGTGTCCAAAGTGACAAAGAAGCTGTTCAGGGCATTTCAACTTCGTGAGCAAAGCAGTTCGAGCACTTCTTCAACTCCAGTTTTGTGCCCTTGAGCTTCCCAGCGACGCAGTCGACATATCGATAAATGAAGTAGATTTAAAACCATATAGGTTCTTGTTTTGACACCCTCACATTGTTTGAGCTTCACTTAAGAAGAAATATAAAGTAATGGAAATCAGTTCTCGATCTCACCGTTTCAGCCTAGCTGCCTACTTAGCTGGCCACAAACAAGCATACCCCAAGGTCACTTGCAGCTCTCGACGGAGAGCTAGGTTCATCTCAGAAAGATCCCTGGCGGAAAGTACCGCTCCATAGCTCCGAGCATCGGAGTGCACGAATCATCTATATCAGAGCGATGCACTTGCTTCTAATAGCAAACATTGTTACTACTAGTAAGGCACTTGTTCCTAGTAGCGTCCTTGCTCCTGAGCATCGGAGAATATTCGAGACAGTGAAGAGCATATTTACAACTTGCACAAAAAGGTACTTTCGCTCCACCTCACTTGCTCCCGCAAGAGTTGGATCTCTTCACTTTCGCTCAAATTTTTCATCCTGAACGAGAGATCGGCTCTACGCATTCTTGCTGGTGAGATTTGCAAGAATCTCCTTGTTAACTAAGGAGATGTAAGGAGGGAGTACCTGTGACCCAAGTTCTCGGATTAGGAATCCTTCATGACGGAAGCAAAGATAGACACGTGGATGCCGCATGGCATCCGGCATCGAACACGAAGCCCGGTCTCAACCTGCTCTCCTTGCAAGATCTGCCTTTGGCATGCATTTTCCAAGGCAAACACCCTCCATGACGCCTGAGAGAAATGGTTGCAGCTTGTCCAACGCACAAAAGTTGAAAAACCAAAGTCCTTTTCCAAGCCTTCCCTTCCTTGTAGCCTTGCACAAAAAAATTTTTTTGGGGCTTCATACTCGTTCCCAGCTAGAATGGTGTAGAAAACATGCGAGAAAAGAGAAAAACATCTTCTGCAAAACCCGGCCTGCCGAGACACAAAGGAATGGACGACGTGCACCCTTCTTGATACAAAACCCGCAGCAAAACACTGAAACAACACGGAGCTTTGCACAGCGCTAGCGCCAATTATGCTTTGGTACGACTGCTTGTGCTAAGGATGAAGAGCAGTGTAAGACTTCACACATGGCGACCCAAAGCCATGCTTATAGGTTGGAGGCCATTGCTGTTAGGTTGTTATCGCTTTCTTGCTACTAGTAGCGATGCACCTGCTCCTAATAGTGATGACTTGTTACTACTAGCTTCTTGCAGTTGTTTTCTCCGGATGCGGAGAAGCCTTCCAGAAAGCCTCACAGCCTCGCAAGCCATTTGCGCCTCACCCACGACATATGAAGTTTTAAACACAGTATGCGGACACAAAGGAAAGGTCTGGTCTGACGAAAGACACCAAGGAAACCAAATATCAAAAGGTCTAAAGGTAAGAAAAGTGGACAGGCCTGTAAGGAAGAAAGATCAGTTCTATGAAATCACAGAGCTCCTTGACACTCTTGAGATAATTCCTTACTCTTGTCTTCCACACTCTTCTTCGGCATGCTTATTCCTCACTCTTCGGTAGTGCCATCAACCCACAAAACCCTGGTGCAAAGGAATGAAGAAAGACACATGAAAGGTCAAAAGGTGCAAAGAATTAATTCCGGATAACCCCACACTTGTAGCCTTGCTTATGTCACAACATGCCCAACGAAATAGAGAGCAAAAACAAAGCCACATGTCGAGCGGAGGTGATTTGAAGTGAGAAGAGTGACAGAGTTGTGTGAGCTGAGTTGAGCCGACGTGAAGTGAGTTGAGTTACAGTAAAATGATCAAATGAATTCAAATGACATGAGCTAAGGGTGAGTTCAGCCAAGTAAACTGCGTTTATGTGTGTCTGAAACATGTTTTGGCCAGTGCGCACTAGGGGCTCCTGGCCTTACTACTAGGAGCAAGGACGCTACTAGGGGCTCTGGAACACATGCCCGAGCATCCGTGCACGGTTCGATGCTCACTGGTGCCCGGCGAAAGGAAGGAGATGCCGCAAGAAAACAAGAACCCCACACAAATGTGGGGAATTCGAAAAGAAAGAGTCAAAGGAAGGTAAAAATATAAAAGTAAGGATAAACAAACAGTTCGATCATCTGCTACGTCCCAGTCTTGATGCCACTTCGACCTGGAGAACTGCAAGAACGCACATGATGTTATTCTTTCTTATGTCATGTTGCCACACATGAGTCGTATGAGTCCTAACAAAACGTTAACCCAGAATGTTTCCATGTCGGAATCAGATTTGGAAGCTTTCTCGATCAAGTGCTGGCGCAACAATGCATTAAAGGCAGTGCTTGGGATGCTGACTGTTTCAAGAAGTTGTTTAAGCCATTGGATTAATATGATTATAGATATACATATATATATATTGTTTATGTCACTGACCTCAATCTAAGCTTATGTTGCCATATGTTGCCTCAACTCCTTCTCAATGCTGAGATCTTCTTTTTCTCCGACATTGTTCTCCCAATTTCCCTGATGTTCCTTTCCACGGGTGTCCTTTCGAGCGTTTTTGTGCGGCTTGTTTGATTTGTGAATACTCCAGTGTTAACCACTTCTGTTGGGATCTTGGCCAGTTATCAGCTTGTTGGCAGTTGATCAACAGTTGATCTGCTGATGGACTGCACTTGTTGGCTGATGTAGATGCTGGGTTCTTCTGGGTTCTGACAACAAAACAGCTTACAGCACTGGATTCACGTTGATGTTGAGCATCAAAGGTTTCAGTCACGCTGTTCTGACCACGTGTTTCATGAAGACAATACAGGAGCATCACTCTGCCGTGTGAAAATAGTTCTTAAGGATGGTTCTCTTGGCCATTTCCAACCGCTTGTTTCATAAACACGTCCAACATCAAATTAAAAGGGCCAAAAGCAAAAGGACTTGCGTATACTTGCGCTGCTACATATCTGAGATCATCTACAATTAAGTCCTCTAGCGGGCCCTTCTGCCAAACACCGTTGCTTTTGCATGAAATCTTCGCACAAAACCGCTCGCACACGAGCCAATCACACGAGCCCTCCCTGTGCAACCCGCTTTGCCTCGCAGCTTCGTTCGTGCTACACTTGTGAAACAAATTCCTCGTCAGAACGACGTCAGAACGCTACTCGAAGGGACCAAAGCGACCTTTGCGCCGTAAACGGACACAAGATGTGCACCCCAAAACCATGCAATTCGAAGCATCGTCTACTCTAGGCGTTCGCAGCAAAAATGCGTTAGACTTCTCACCCGTTTGGTTCGGGTCGCCTTTTTCTAACCTGCTTGGGCAGGTCTCATCGGCTCAAAGCGATGGTTCAAATCACTAGGCTTCACCTCACGGACCGTCTTCTCGTGGTGGTCAATCTGCCTGGTCAGACTGTCCAAAACGGCCGTGGATGCCGTGTCAGTGCGTCAAGTCTCGCGTTTCTTTCATCAGCTGAGGGCCGAACCAAACAGTGTGCGCCTGGCAACGACCGGACCAAAGGGAGGACGATGGATTAGGTGAATGGTGAGGTGCTTGAAGCACCAATTAGGTGCTCACTCCAATTCCAAAGAGCAGTTCAACTACATCATCCGTTCGACAGTCATCAAAGACTATAAAGAAGAGCCGATTCCGATACAATCAGCCTGCTGATACAAGCCAACGGACTCCACAAGGGGTTAACGCACGAACTTGTGGTGGAATGCTGCACTGTCAACGTTTTCAACCTGCTCCCGTTTACCTCCACCAGTTCCCGAAAGCTGCTTAGTCTGTGCACAGTTAACCGTGTTCCCATTCCCCCTAAATGGACTTGTCGCTTCTTTTCATAGCTCATAGCGCATCAATTTTTGGGACACCAGGATCTATGTATCACTTCCTAGAGTGCGCACTTGCAGTAAATTGATCTTGAGGTTTGTCAGAAGCAAACACATTGGCCATTTAAGACTATGCCTATCCCGTGGAAGAAGGAAAGCAGTTCATCATTGCGGGGGTGGACCATTGTTCACGGGGTCTGTGTTGTGATTAAGTTGCCACGAATGACAAAGCACCACAGCGGCACTGAGACGTGGCTAGGGTGCCAAACACAGTGGTGAGAGGATACAGTAAACGGAGTAAACCGAGTAAACGGTCAATCATCTGTGGGCTATTAGGTTGGAGGCCATCGTTATTAGGATACTGTAAACGATGGCTCCTCGATCTTTGTAGCTAGACAAACTTTTCCGTCAGACGCTTTTGGCCTTCTGCGCTTGCTCAACCGTCTCCGGAGAGAAAACCACACAGCGGGGTCGTCTGGAGGTCCTTGGCTGAGACAGGAATGTTGATTTAATTCTTGTTTCTAATAGCAAACATTGTTACTACTAGTAAGGCACTTGTTACTAGAAGCGATGCACTTGTTTCTAATAGCAAACATTATTACTACTAGTAAGGCACTTGTTACTAGAAGCGATGCACTTGTTTCTAATAGCAAACATTGTTACTACTAGTAAAGCACTTGTTACTAGAAGCGATGCACTTGTTCCTAGTAGCGAGGCACTTGTTTCCAATAGCTTCTGAATCTATAACTCCACTGGAGAGCCAAAGATCAAGGTCTGCTGAGGGAGGGATGCTCCTCGGTTTTCGTGATGAATCTGGATGACCTCAGCATCTTTGGCAACTTGGCATTTTTCAGCTTCGATTTTCACTCGATCTTAGAAACAAGTACAGTAGCTATTAGAAACAAGTGCCTTACTAGTAATAACAAGAAGCTATTAGAAACAAGTGCCTTACTAGTAGTAACAAGTGCCTTACCAGTAGTAACAAGTGCCTTACTGGGCCTTACTAGTAGTAACAATGTTTGCTATTAGAAACTTGGAGCACAAGACCTCGATTTCTTCAGCGTGCACACGTTTGTCGAACAGTGAAATCTTGTGTGCCCAACGTTGAGAACATCATCGGCGGTGCCCAAGTCAAAGTGGTGGAAGGGGCGGTGAAGGACCAGCCTCGACTGTGAGCTTTGTGGCGGAAACAGCGAACTCCAACCTATTTTCTTTGCTTCTTGTTACTAGTAGTAAGGCACTTGCTCCTAGTAGCGATGCACTTGTTCCTAGTAGCTTTTTCTTAGTAGCAATGGCCTCCAACCTATACTAGCTCCCTATGACTGGAAAATTGCTAAAACCACCAGCGTCTGAGAGCACCTAAAGCAACAACTCAGCCCGCCCCCCCAGCACGAGGAGACAAACTCTGACATTGCTTAACATCCTGGGACAAGATGTTGCTCCAGCAATTGCGAGCAAATGTGAAAGACGAGCAATACCTGCCCTTATTAGTAAAAAACGCACAAATATCCTAAAGACATCACATTGCTTGATTTATGCTCACAAGCAACACCTGAAAACGACGTGAACGGACCGTGTGCAAAATTACTGTACTTCTCGTGACACAAGTTGTTCACAGCGCGCTTGGAATATATCGTGCACAGGTGTACCAAGCGCTTCGTTCTGTCCCAAGTTAGGTTAACTGCTGGTGTGACAACTGTCCCATCATCCGTTCTTTGCGTGACAACTTGACAGCAATTCATCTACAGCCTAACTCTGAAATCTCAAGGATTCATAAAAAAACAAAAAACAAATGCAAAACCACACTCACAAAGGATGACCAGGAAATGCAAAAGAAATGCATAAAAAAAACAAAAAAAAGGCAGCTGGTCAAAAAGAGTGCATATCAAAAAGCAAAAAACATGCAAAAGGAAGCCAGAAAAAAAAACAGAACAACAGTTCAAAAAAAAACAAAAAAAACGCAAAAAAAATGCAAAAAAATGCACATGCACAACCAAATTTCACACACCACCTTTTTTGTGCGATTTTGTTCGATGTTTGTGCGATTTGTTTGCATGTTTTTGCATTTTTTGTGCGGTTTTTTTTTTGCGAGTTTTTTGCGTTTTCTCAATTTTTTGCGTTTTCTCAAGGAAACGCACAAACAATGCAAAAAAAAACAAAAAAAACCGCAAATACAAAGCGAAAGCAATGCAAAGGCAAAGACCAGAACGTTTTTGATCGCATTTGTTTTGCTTTTTGATTGCATGTTTTTTGCATTTGTTGTGCATTTTTGTTGCACTTGTTTAGTGGACAAATGCGTTTTTTCCCGAATGCGTAGCGAAGGGTTCTCGTTTAACTCTTGGGGGTCTGGGGGTAGAGCCTTGTTCGCGACCCGTTGCTTCTATGTTCGCAACCGTCCGCAACCGTCCGCAGTAGGACGCTAAGGCGCTGCCATTGGGGGAAGCTTTTGCAAGTGACTTTTCATGGATGTGTCACGTGTCAGTTTGCGCCGCTATTCCATTGTGATTTGCATGAAAATGACATGTCGCGCAAGCAGCGTGATGCATTTCGCTGCACAGGCGCAGCGTTTTGTGAGATCCGCAGTTTGCTACGCAGTTCCATTGGGATTAGCGTTTGGAGAGTCGTGTTTTTGGGGTGTTGGATGTGGCCGTGCCATTGGGATTTGCGTTTCAGGGTGTGGCGTCGAAGCTCTGTTTTCGTGACAAGTCTCAGCTGAAATGCCGATTTTGGTGGATGGGAGTATGCTCAGAACGGGTCGAAATCATTCCAACCGTGTGGTGTGGTGCAAATTTTGTTGAAGCTCAGATGAGATGACATTGTTACTTTTCGTGGCAGGCGCAGGACTTGGTGCGGGTTTTGCGGTGTGGAAGTGGGATTTTCGTGGCAGGCGCACGGAATCGTGAGGTTGCGAGGTGTGACGGAGGTGACATTGCGTGGCAGGCGCAGTACTTGGTGCGCCTTAGACGCGTGGACGCGGAAAGATTCGTGGCAGGCGCAGGGAATCGGGAGGTTGTGAGTTGTGGTAGAGGTGAATGTCGCTGTCACATTGGGATTGGCGTGTGAGCGGGTGTCGTTTGGAGGGGCTGGAATCGCGAAATTGCTTGGCAGGGCTGCGTGATGTGTGTGTCCGACGGGTGTTTCCGCTGGACTTTTGGAGGAAGTCTCGTGCGAAACGTTCGTTTTGCAGACTTTGACATGTGAGTTTTTGAGGAAGTCTCGTACGAAACGCTCGTTTTGGGGACTTGAAATGTGACTTTTGGAGGACGTCTCGTACGAAACACTCGTTTTGGAGACTTGACGTGTGACTTTTGGAGGGACTCTCGTACGAAACGCTCGTTTTTGAGACTTGACGCGTGACTTTTGGAGGAAGTCTCGTACGAAACGCTCGTCTTGCAGCCTCGCAGCGTGACTTTTGGAGGAAGTCTCGTACGAAGAGTGTGCCCTACAGGAGTGTCCCACAAGAGTGTCCTACAGGAGTGTCCCACAAGAGTGTCCTACAAGAGTATCCCACAAGAGTTTCCTACAAGAGTGTCCCACAAGAGTGTCCCGTATGAGTGCCACACAAGAGTGTCCCACAAGAGTGTCCCACAAGTGTGTCCCACAAGAGTGTCCGACAAGAGTGTCCCATAAGAGTGACCCACAAGAGTGTCCTACAAGAGTGTGCAACAAGAGTGTCCCGTAAGAGTGTCCCACAAGAGTGTCCTACAAGAGTGTCCCACAAGAGTGTCCCACAAGAGTGTCCCGCAAGAGTGTCCCAAATGAGTGTCCCACAGGAGTGTCCCACAAGAGTGTCCAGCAAGAGTGTCCCACAAGAGTGTCCCACAAGAGTGTCCCGCAACAGTGTCCCACAAGAGTGTCCTACAAGAGTGTCCCACAAGAGCTTCCTACAACAGTGTCCCACAAGCGTGCCCCACAAGAGTGTCCCACAAGAGTGTCCTAAAGGAGTATCCCACAAGAGTGTCCTATAAGAGTGTCCCACAAGAGTTTCCTACTAGAGTGTCCCACAAGAGTGTCCCACAAGAGTGTCCCACAAGAGTGTCCCGTAAGAGTGTCCCACAAGAGTTTCCTACAAGAGTGTCCCACAAGAGTGTCCCACAAGAGTGTTCCGCAAGAGTGTCCCAAATGAGTGTCCCACAGGAGTGTCCCACAAGAGTGTCCCGCAACAGTGTCCCACAAGAGTGTCTCACAAGAGCGTCCCAAGAGTGTCCCACAAGAGTGTCCCACAAGAGTGTCCCGCAAGAGTGTCCCGCAAGAGTGTCCCAAATGAGTGTCCCACAGGAGTGTCCCACAAGAGTGTCCCGCAACAGTGTCCCGCAAGAGTGTCTCACAAGAGTGTCTCTTAAGAGTGTCCCACAAGAGTGTCCCGCAACAGTGTCCCACAAGAGTGTGTCCCACAAGAGTGTCCCACAAGAGTATCCGACAAGAGTGTCCTACAAGAGTGTCCCACAAGAGTGTCCCATAAGAGTGACCCACAAGAGTGTCCCACAAGAGTGTCCCACAAGAGTGTCCCACAAGAGTGTCCCGTAAGAGTGTCCCACAAGAGTTTCCTACAAGAGTGACCCACAAGAGTGTCCCACAAGTGTCCTACAAGAGTGTCATTTGGACATATGCAGCTTTTTGAACGTGTTTGCATTCGGGTTCGTGGGCTTCATCTTGTGTTTTTTTTTTTTCGCAATTGTTTGCGCTCTTTTTGCATTCCAAGGCATCCTTTGGTGACTTGTTTTTGCGTTTTCTGTGCATTTTTTTCGGGATTGGTTTTGCATTATTGTTGCATTGTTTATGCATTTTTTTTTTGCTGTGTCATCAGAACTAGCTTTAGCGTACATCATAACTCTAGATTCCCAGTCAACACTTGTTTGAAGGATGCATTTATCTTTCGAACGCAAACTTACTTTCAACACGTTCATTCTTGATGGCTCGAGCTTCCATTTTGAATCGCCCAAGGCACAAGTGGGGATTCATGATGAGTGCCCGTGCCAGGCTAACTTTCACCTGCACAGCTCGATCGTTGGGCTTAAGAACAAGAAACACTAGTAAACTAGTAAACATTTCTTTTGCTTTGCTTTATCAAAATAGCAATGGCCTCCAACCTAATAAAATGCTTCATCATATGTCAACCAAAAAAACACAACGAGCAGTAAAACTTCAGCATAGACTGACCATGCTGTCGACCTTCTTGAGAGTTGAGGTCATGTATTGAACGATGTTTGAGTCACTCCGATCTTTTGTTTTTGTGAGACGATTGAATTTCGCAGTTTGGGGATTCGCTTCACCTTCTCAGTGTAGGTGAGAGGCTCCATCCACAGCCGCCGACTGGCATCCTACGCGAGAAAATCCGATGTTCAAAAAAATGGACCACGAAAATCGAGAATATTCTTTGCGCATTCCTGATGCAACTGGCAAGTGCTACAACTGAGGAACACTAAGGCTATCTAGGATCTATCTGATCTTGATTCTTTTTGATCGCCGTTCTTTAAAACGCACTGGGCGACACTTCTTCCGTCCCGTGCAGCATCGGCTGCCAATTCTTGGGGATCCAAGGCTGGGAGCTCTTTATAGCTATTGCCTCACAAAAGGAACGGATTTCTTCAAAGAGAAGGCATAAAGCGCGTTCAAGTCTAGCTTCTTATCCGCTAACACAGTCGCAACATGTTTCTCACTTCTGTGCATCCTTTGTCTGTCTGGGCACCATTCATGGAGAGAGTCCGGGAGGAGCGGCTCTGCGAGTTCCGCCCGGTCAGCGGCTCCGACAAATCTGAGATCTTCTCCACCGGGGAACGGTTGGGCTGCCGGAGGCCTCGGGGGTTGACTACTGCTTCGCTCACGCGAGAAAAGGAAGCAGTAGAATTGATTCAGTCACTCCTAGACTTTTAGGGAGGCGCCTGAAAAAACACAGAGAATTAAAAACGATACCCCAAAGGCAGATTTTACAAAAGGGAGTGACGACTCCATTCGAGAAAATCCGAAGCGTCAAACAAATCTAAGAAAGCATGGAGCGGGGCAAATGCCTTTAACATTTCAAAACAATCATGTTCCAGCCTTGTTTGAGCCAGCGACGCTAACTGGGCCCCAGTAACCGAACTATGCCTACAGCTTCCAGTTGAACGCACAGACCGATCTGTGGTGGGCCCCTCCTCAACGTGCGCTTCTCTAAAAAACGTGCCTGCCAACCCACATGCCTTTTGGTTTTGCAGCTACCAAAGGTGGAAGATGGATATGATGGATTGATACTTTTGTTTTGCTCTTCGGTTTTGGAATACATACCTCTTCCCCAACAACACAGCCTCCATCAACTCTTCGAGCATAGATGAACGAATGAACAAATGAAGTTGCATAGAAAAACAGTAACAAGAAGCTATTAGAAACAAGTGCCTTACTACTAGGAGCAAGAAGCTACTAGGGGCTCCTGGCCTTACTAGTAGTAACAATGTTTGCTATTAATTTAATCCTAATAGCTTCTTGTTACTACTAGTAAGGCACTTGTTGGCACTTGTTACTAGTAACAATTTGGTCTATCTTGGAAAACACCTTCGCACATCCGGTCAACCAGAGAAGGACGGTCCACGGACAACTCGAGAGAAGCATCTAAAGGTCTAGAAATCTAAAGATATCCGAAGAAAAAACAAACACATCAAGAACTATAGTGTTTGAAGAGAAAACAACCTTCCTTTCTGAAGTGTTCGAAGCCCTCTCACTCTCCGTCGAAATCCCACCTTGCTCTTCGTCCCCCATCTCCTGATTTGCAGTCTCATTGCCAAGCAGCTCTGCCCTCGATGCGAGAGCAAAAGCGACAGCATCCACACTTAGCACAACCGACACTCAATTGTTTGGAGTGAGCTATTTCACAATTTGTTGCTAAAATGCTGTAAGCAAACTGGACGCACAAGCCCTGGATGCCCAATAACAACGTTTTTCGCAAAATCTAAAACCAAGTGAACACTTAAGTGGCACTCCAAGAGCCACTAGCATGTAAAGGATAAGACACACGTCAAGAATTCGCTTCGATCGTTGCCAAGGCACTGCAAATGTGCCAAAATGTTCTTCATTTGCAGCATTTTGAGAACCCCCTTCACAACATCAATCTCAGTATTTGGAGCTCCGTAAGTGAGATTCCTTGGGCACGACTTGCGAAGCAAAACAAAGTTTAGAACTCACGTTCCTTAGGTCCTTAAATCTGAATCTTGTCGTTTCGGATTTAAATGCTTGTCATCCAAGATACTCCCACACACTAGCATCCAACAGCACAGGGTCTTGGGCTACCTCAAGAAGCACTTTCATGGACACCCAAAGCAGTTCAGTGCTTGTTTACAGAGAAAAAAGTGCATGGTTCGGTAAGTCAGAGACTTTTTGCAAAAGAAAGCTTTTTGTTCTCTGTACAACCGGAGGCATTCTTGCAGCCCAAGGTGACACATTTAGCGACTTCTGCAATGCTCTTGACCAAGGTGCGAATAAAATCCGCAAATGTGTTGGCACAAAAATTTCACCCTCATCAGGCAGCAATCGGCTAGAAAGGAGGCGCAAAAAGGTATTCCTCAGTGAGCAAGCAATCAAAGGAGAAATCATTTCGGGTGTTCACTCTAGCAGCAACTTTGCGACTTCTATGGTGGTGAATAGTGTGATGATGTGGAGGTGAAGTTGTGTTTCTTTTGTGTCTTGATTCCTTTAAATCTCATGACGGCTGGGTCCGCGAAACAGCAGTAACAGGAAACAACTGCGTAAATATTCCATGTGGAAAGTCTAGCATGAGTTCAACCATGATCTAAGAAAGAAGAGTGAAACAAGTCAGCACTTTGGCCACAGTGACCACCCCAAAGAAAAGGGTAACCATCGTACTGGCGCATCTTGATCCGCAGTGTTTTGCCTGCAGCGCCTCTTGTGCTGTCTCCACTTGTGAAAAGCAGTAAATGCATACGCATTGTTTTTTTGCATTCCATTGTTGATGGCATGTTGCTCTTTTTGCAGAAACAACATGTCGATGATGTCCACGCCTGTAGGGAAAATGTATATATGAAGCGAGGAGTGTAACAAAATGTAACAAGGCTGTTGAGTGGGCCGCGCTGTGGTAGTGAAATCTAATTATATCTAATTATTGATAGCAATCCTCAACAACGGGCGGTGGCACTACGTGCGTCGCAACCACTTTTTGTCTAGTTTCTGGCACTGTTGAAAAATTTGCTCAATAGTTTATGGACTTGATGGATTGAAACATGTCAAAACTTAAAACTGCACCTGCAGTACATGTGAAATGCCAAACTGGGTCGTCCCCTATCGGTTGTGAGGATTTAGGCAATTGAAATGTGATGTCATGATGGTGTCATTTGTGCAGCATCGGTCGTGAAGGGCTTGCCATATTGCGTCTTGATTGCTGTGTGGTTGTGCCTCCATTTCAGGGCCTGAAACTGTGAGTACCTTGCGAAAGGCTTGTGGAAGCAAACAGCAGAGTAGCATCTCCTTTTTCGACTTGGCGTTAGGCATCTGACATTGAACTTGAGGAGCCGGTTTCTGAGCTGGTGCTCTGACCGCTTTGCTTTTCTTGGCCAAAAGTTGTTGCTTGTGTTTACTCCTCAGTCTCCTCCGTTGTAGTCTGCTAATCTTCTTGTTAATTTCCTCTTGGATGTCTGCATCATCTGATACACGTTTGTACATGTTTGCAGAATTTTCTAATGCCTCCTTGTACTTCCTTGCTCACCTTACTGTAAACACCCGTAGGGAAACATTGCAATGAGGTGAAACTGAAACTACTACCATGTGGATGCTAAGAAATGAACACTGCAGCACTACAAACATGAGAGATCTGCATGGACACCCGCCATGGTCCTGCTTATAGTGTCAGCCCTTCGAATGGGACAAGGGGCACCAGACCATGTAAATCTGCAAAGCAGGGTATCGGATAGTATCGGTTGAGCTGTCCGTGGGAGCTCCCACATTCCATGGCATAGGCACCCACACACGTGAGGAGACCAGTCAACCAAGAGAACCCCTGGATCCAAACACGCAGCAAACCCGCGAGGAAGGTTTCCAAAGAGGAAGCCAATCACATCTCCTGAACCCGTCCTCCAAAAAGATAATCGTGGCCCGTGCAATATAACCCACTAAGGTTCAGAACTACTCTTATTGAAAAGCACCTTGGATTCCAAATCACCGCCATCAAAAAACTATAACAACCAAAACATACCAAAACAATCTTGGTAGATCATGGGGTATCGGTGCCGGTCGTCCCCTATCGGTTGCCAAGGAAGGCGGCTTACATGAACTGCGCTGAGTTTAGACTTTGCAACTCCAATCCAACCTTTGTAAGCGTCCTTGCTCCTAGTAGCTTCTTGTTACTACTAGTAAGGCACTTGCTCCTAGTAGCGATGCCCTTTGCTCCGTTCGTAGCTTCTTGTTACTAGTAGTAAGGCACTTGCTCCTAGTAGCGATGCCCTTTGCTCCGTTCGTAAACCGTTCGTAGCTTCTTGTTACTAGTAGTAAGGCACTTGCTCCTAGTAGCGATGCCCTTTGCTCCGTTCGTAGCTTCTTGTTACTAGTAGTAAGGCCAGGAGCCCCTAAGTAGTAGCGTCCGATCGCTCCGTTCGTAGCGAATGGGCTGTTCTTAGTCGGCCAAAGTCGGCCGAGCACCAGAATCAAAACCAACATAGTAACAAGTGCCACGCTAGTAGTAACAAGTGCCACGCTAGTAGTAACAGGTGCCACGCTAGTAGTAACAAATGCTACATGTGGCGATGTGAAATATGATGACCTATGGTGTGTGTGTTTCTTTCTAAGTACATTCAGGGTCACGTGTTCACTGTTCTTGTACAGTCAAACTGTTCCAGTCATCTTGCCAAACGACTGTGAATGAGACTGCGATTGCTTTTGGCCTGCAAATGGATTAGATTATCATGGCAAGCAGGCAAAGCATGAGGAAGCTCTAGCCGCCCGGTACATCTTACACCAATTCCTTTTGTGTCGCCTTTCGAAGTGGAATACATTGTTTTGCAATGTTTTGCATGCTTTATTTATTTATTGTTTTAATTAGTTCTCCCTTTTTGAAGTATGGCGCCTGGATAGGCCAGGTGCGTGGTTTTCTTTTTGGTACCTTTGTGCCACCTTGTGCTTTCCGAGATCTTCAGGAGTCACTTGTTCCTAATAGCTTCTTGTTACTAGTAGTAAGGCACTTGTTACTAGAAGCGATGCACTTGTTCCTAGTAGCTTCTTGTTACTAGTTTGGTCCTCGAGCAGATTTGCAACTTCAGCTTCTCGTGTGACAGGTGGGATGTGCTTTCAGGATGCTGCAGATACTTTCCAAGAGAGAAAGACATAATGCAAGATTCTGAATTATATAAAAAAAAACAGCTATTAGAAACAAGTGCATCGCTACTAGTAACAAGTGTCTTAATGCTAGTAACAAGAAGCTATTAGAAACAAGAAGCATGATGAAGGTACTTTCCCTCTGCGCCATAAGAAGGTGGCATCGTGAAGAAATTCGAGGCAAACGCATCACATCTCCATCCAGCTGAGTGCTTTCTGCACTTTAAGTCAGCTTTAGCTTCAAAGACATCTGTGAACGTAAGAAAATAGAAATGCAGAACCCTCTTATCTGCCACAGAATGCTGCTGCCCAACATGGTCTTACTAAAGTGCGTTGAGTTACTTTCCAGAGCCGTGAACGCCCACCAAAGCTACCTTAGTGGACATCGTCCTAAATAACTTCTGAAAAACCGCGCCTTTGGAACACAGGAAGATACAGGAAGGCACATGCACATAGCAGCTAGCACCTTCACAGACCTTCTTTGACCTTCTGGGTCTTCGAGTCTAACCCAAAAAGTGCATTTGGCATGTCAAAGGTCTCCCACCTAGCAATGGCTTCCAACCTAGTAGCGTCCTTGCTCCTAGTAGCGATGCCCTTTGTTCCTAGTAGCTTCTTGTTCCTAGTAGTAAGGCCGGGAGCCCCTAGTAGCGTCTTTGCTCCCAGTAGCAATGGCCTCCAACCTCGACAAAGAGAGGTTCGCACAACTGACCTGGAATTGCAGAATACCTGGAATACCCAGTGTGCATCCAAACTGCAATCTTTCCCAAGGGCACATGTAAAGGACCCACGTTCTCCAGCAGCTTCCTTCAGAGAACGCGACACAACCGAGACCGAATGAAAGAGAGTTCACAGAAAATTGAGAAGTAAGAGAGCAGTGCTTGGAAAAAAACAAACATTAAGACAATATATATATATATAGTAGGAGCAAGAACGCTAACTAGGGGCTCCTGGCCTTACTACTAGGAGCAAGAAGCTACTAGGAGCAAAGGGCATCGCTACTAGGAGCAAGGATGCTACTAGGTTGCAAACACGCTTGAGAAACGCTGAGTTTGCGGATGTTTCACGGCATCTGGTGGAAGTTACTAGTAACAAGTGCCACGCTAGTAGCAACAGGTGCCTTACTAGTAGTAACAAGAAGCTATTAGTAACAAGTGCCACGCTAGTAGTAACAAGTGCCTTACTACTAGTAGCAATAAGTAGCATCTGGTGGAGACACCGTGGAGACCGCTGTCTCATTGCTTCGACGACAACGAGGTATGCTAACAGCTCGAGGGGCTCGTCCGGGTGATATCCAAACGAGACGTTATTGATCTTCATCTCAATGAGATCTGTCCTGAAATCGTTCCAAAAGAAATTGCAAAACAGCAAAGAACAATGTCTATGAGGTGAAAACAAAAACTGGATTGCAAGAATTCTACTTGAATCCCCGCTTATACCCGATTGCTTAGTGCTTTTATCCTACCTCTTGCTGTAGCCATGTTGTTCATCACAGGTGCTGCCCTGGAAGTCACTCCCATCGTCACTACCATGGTCTATACCCTCTACTAAAGCCCTCTTTACTGCTTCAAAAACTGACAAAGCAACAACAGAAAATCAAGTAGGAGCAAGAACGCTACTAGGAACAAAGGGCATCGCTACTAGGAGCAAGAACGCTACTAGGGGCTCTTGGCCTCACTACTAGTAACAAGAAGCTATTAGAAACAAGAAGCTACCAGGGCTCCTGGCCTTACTACTAGGAGCAAGGACGCTACTAGGGGCTCCTGGCATCGCTACTAGTAACAAGAAGCTATTAAAACAAGAAGCTACTAGCGGCTCCTGGTCTTACTGCTAGGAACAAGGACGCTACTAGGGGAACCTGACATCTGACTCACCTCTCTCCGCACCTCAGCAGACCTGACTCCGCCGGTGGCTCCGGCAGCTTCAAAACTTCGTGCCGGGCCTGACATAGACTCTTTTGAGGACTCTCTTGCAATGGCCTCCAACGTAATAGCAATGGCCTCCAAGCTAATAGCAATAGCCATGGCCTCCAACGTAATAGCAATGGCCTCCAAGGTAATACCAATAGCAACGGCCTCCAACGCAATAGCAACGGCCTCCAACATAATAGCAATGGCCTCCAAGCTAATAGCAATAGCAACGGCCTCTAACGTAATAGCAATGACCTCCAAGCTAATAGCAATAGCAACGGCCTCCAACGTAATAGCAATG